GGTGGAAGCCCCTCCACCTTGACCGCTACGACGGCACCACGGACCCCGACGAGCACATAGACTCGTACACAACTCAGGTAAACCTTTACACTAACAGCGACGCTATATTGTGTAGGGTTTTTCCGACCTCACTCAAGGGACCCGCGCTTCATTGGTACACCCAACTACCAGCTGGATCCATCGACAGCTTTGCCACCTTGGTGCGGCGATTCATGGCACAATACGCCACCAGCCGGCCTCACCACACAACCTCGGCCGCCTTGGCCAACCTAAGGCAGAACGACAATGAACCTCTGCGAGCTTTCATGGAGCGCTTCTCCAACATCTCGGTTCGGATCCGGAATCTAAACCCGGAGGTCGCCCTGCACGCCATGCTCATGGACCTGGATTGTTCGTCGACAGCCTATGCCGCGACGCCCCCCGCGACATGGATGAACTGCGTGCCCGCGCTGCCGGCTATATTTAGATGGAAGAGCACTCGGCCTTCCGCGACCAAGTTTGCGGGAAGGGCCCCACAAAACCGGAACAGGGCCACAGAGATAAGGTAAAAGTCAATAATGACAGCCAATTCAAGAAGCTAGCCAGAGCCAACAGAGGCGGGAGGTATGACTTTTACACTCCCCTGAACGCCCCGAGAGTCCACATCCTGGAAGAAGCCAGTAACAATAGCCTACTAGCCCTTCCACCACTCGGCCACACCCCCAACAGCGCTGATAAGTCCAAACACTACCGGTACCATAGGAACTACGGCCACACCACTGACGAGTGCCGCACGCTCCGGGACTGCATCGAAGAACTCATCCAGGCAGGCCATCTCGGCCACTACATCCAGCGACAGCCAGGTTCCCGAGGTGGCTCTAGAGCCCGGGGACGCGGGAGAGGCCGCAGGTCAGGAGCTCGCATAGACTTACCCACAAGGTCCCAGCAAAATGCTAATGGCGCGGTACAGGCTAAAATAAGTCAGGAGACAGACTCAGCCCCCTTGCGGGGAATAATCAACACAATATCAGGCGGCTTCGCTGGAGGAGGCGCCAGCAGCTCGACCCAGAAAAGACACCTTTGAAGCATTAACTGTGCCCACTCCACCGCCTCGATCTCGCACAAGAGCTCGCCACCGATCTCTTTTTCTGATGAGGACTATGCGGGAATCAGTCCTAACCAAGATGACCCCATGGTCATCGTGGTAGAGATCGCCAACTGGGAAGTACAAAAGACACTCATCGACCAAGGGAGCTCGGCCGACGTCCTGTACTGGCCAACATTCCTCAGGCTCGACGTCCCCCATTCTCTAATCCAACCACACACAGAGCCCCTAGTTGGCTTTGCCAGCGAACGGGTCCACACCCGCGGATACGTGGATTTGCAGACAACCTTCGGAACACCTCCGGATACAAGGAGGATCATGGTTCGATACCTCCTCGTGGAGGCCAACACCTCCTACAACATCATCATCGGGACGTCGACCCTAAACCACCTCGGTGCGGTGGTATCCACTCCGCACCTCACCATGAAGTTTCCAGGGAATGACGAAAAGATTATCTCCATCAGAGTAAACCAGGAGATAGCTCGGCAATGCTACGCCGAAAGCCTGAGGATCTCCTCATCCAGCAAGGAAAGCAAGGGGAGTCCCTCCACCGCTCTCCATTAGATTTCGTTCCCCCATTTGTACAAACGAACCGTGCACTATTTTCCCGCCTCAGTCCCAAACTGAGAGGGTTTTTAATAAGGCACGTAGAATCATTTAATAACATTCTCCATTTTGGTCACCTATTGCTTTCTCAACTACTGCTTTCTTACCTACTGTAAAAATCGAACCTTAATCCAATCATTCACGTAAACCCGAGGTCGAGCACGAACCCCGGTATTCTCGTTGAAGGTCGAGTACAAACCCCGGCCCCCTCGTTAAAGGTCGAGTACGAACCTTAACTCAATCATTCGCGAAAATCCGAGGTCGAGCATGAACCCCGGTATTCTCGTTGAAGGTCGAGTACAAACCCCGGCCCCCTCGTTAAAGGTCGAGTACGAACCTTAACTCAATCATTCGCGAAAATCCGAGGTCGAGCATGAACCCCGGTATTCTCGTTGAAGGTCGAGTACAAACCCCGGCCCCCTCGTTAAAGGTCGAGTACGAACCTTAACTCAATCATTCGCGAAAATCCGAGGTCGAGCATGAACCCCGGTATTCTCGTTGAAGGTCGAGTACAAACCCCGGCCCCCTCGTTAAAGGTCGAGTACGAACCTTAACTCAATCATTCGCGAAAATCCGAGGTCGAGCATGAACCCCGGTATTCTCGTTGAAGGTCGAGTACAAACCCCGGCCCCCTCGTTAAAGGTCGAGTACGAACCTTAACTCAATCATTCGCGAAAATCCGAGGTCGAGCATGAACCCCGGTATTCTCGTTGAAGGTCGAGTACAAACCCCGGCCCCCTCGTTAAAGGTCGAGTACGAACCTTAACTCAATCATTCGCGAAAATCCGAGGTCGAGCATGAACCCCGGTATTCTCGTTGAAGGTCGAGTACAAACCCCGGCCCCCTCGTTAAAGGTCGAGTACGAACCTTAACTCAATCATTCGCGAAAATCCGAGGTCGAGCATGAACCCCGGTATTCTCGTTGAAGGTCGAGTACAAACCCCGGCACCCTCGTTAAAGGTCGAGTACGAACCTTAACTCAATCATTCGCGAAAATCCAAGGTCGAGCACGAACCCCGGTATTCTCGTTGAAGGTCGAGTACGAACCTTAACTCAATCATTCGCGTAAATCCGAGGTCGTACGAACCCCAGTATTCTCATTCAAGGTCGAATATGAACCTTAAATCAAACACGTAAACCTGAGGTCGGATACGAACCCCGACACTCTCGTTAAGGACCAAGTACGAACCTCGAACACGCAAATCCAAAGTCGAATACGAACCCCGGTATTCCCATTCAAGGACGAATGCGAACCTTAATCCAATCGCTCACAAACCCTAGTCAAACCAAACATGTAAAACTAGGGTCGAGTACGAACCTCGGTATTCTTACCTAAGGTCGAGTCTGAACCATAACCAAATCAGTTTGCTTGAAGAACCCGAGGCCGAGGTCGACAACAAACCTCGACGCCTTCGTAAAAAGTCGAGTCCGCACTTTCACCCACCTAAGTTAAAGGTCGAGTACGAACCTCAATATCCCCACCTAAAGGTCAAATTCGAACCTTCATTATATCGCTCACCTCACACCGAGGTCGAAGTACAAACCTCAAGCATGAAACATCGAGGTCGGATACGAACCTCAAACATGTCACTCCGGGGTCGAATATGAACCCCAATATCATCACCTAAGGTCGAGTTCGAACCATAACTGAATCGTCCACTCAAATCCAAGCCCAAGTTGCGATACACCCCATTCCCAAGTCGAGCATCAACCAAAACCAAGGTCACGCACGGACCTCAGAACCTTCGTGAGCGGTCAAGTCCGTTTACACAAATACGAGGTCGAAGGCGAACCTCAAGCAAGTAAAGCGGAAATCAAGTGTGAACCCTGACGATCACGTCAAAGGTCGGATACGAACCTTAATGAAGTCGCCCCACTCAAATTTGCAAAAGGAATACAAGCCATAAGTGCACCTAAGGCCAAGACTAGAGCCATCACCAACCCGCTACACTTAAAGCCGAGGTCGATCTCTAACCCCGACCCGGCCAACGAGAGGCAAGGACAGTACTGCCATGCACAAAAAACACACAACAGACGCCAAGCGAAGGCCTAAAAACAAATAAACAAGTAAAACACAATACAAGTCCAGAGCACACCAGATGCCTTAGAACACACAAGTGTC